CTTCCAGGCCAGCTCTCTGCTGTGGCCCAGGAGTGCAGTGGAGGATGGCCCAAGTGCTTGGGCCCTGCACCCCATGGGAGACCAGGAGAAGCACCTGGCTCCTGCCATCAGATCAGCGCGGTGCGCCGGCCGCGGTGGCCATTGGAGGGTGAACCAACGGCAAAGGAAGACCTTTCTCTCTGTCTCTCTCTCACTGTCCACTCTGTCAAAAAAAAAAAAAAGAAAAGAAAGAAAAAAAAAAGAAACTGGAGCTGAGACTAGACAATGAAATATTATTTATTCATATTTTAAAGATTTAATTGAAAGGCAGAGTGACAGAGAGGGAGAGGGAGGGAGGGAGAGAATTTACCATCCATTGGTTCACATCCCAAATGGCCCTAGTGGTCAGTGCTGGGCCAGGCTGAACCCAAGAATTGCAACCTGGTTTTCCACATAGACGGCACAGGTCCAAGAACTTGGGCCTTTTTCTGTCTGCCTCCTCAGTCTGGATCAGAAGTGGAACAAGATGGTTGTGTTGTAGGTGGAGGTTAACCCGTGGTGTCACGACGCTGGCCTCAGTATTATTCACTTCTACTGCCTGCCTCTCAACTAAAGCATAAGCTCCATGAACCCAGGTACTTGGCTTTATTCACTGCTATATTCCCAGCAGTCAGAACAGTGCCTGAAGTAAGGTAGCTGTTCATAAATATTTGTTAATAAGTGCACCAGCTAAATAGTGGTAAGACGTTGGTTAAGACTCGCATGTCCCAGACTGGAGTGCTTGGGTTCCGTTCCCTGCTCTGGCTCCTGCTTCCTGCCAATGCAGACCTGGAAGGCCGTGGTGATGGGTCAAGCAGTTGGGTTTCTGCCTCCCAGGTGAGAGACCTGGATTGAGTTCCCAGATCACAGCTTTGGTCATGGCCCAAGTCCAGCCATTGCAGACATTTGGGGAGTGACCCAGTAGGTGGGAGCTCTTCTTCCTCTCTCTCATAAATAAATCAATAAATTTTAAATAAAACATGTTTACTTTTATATCAAAAATATTTGAAATCTAGGGCTGGTGTTGTGGCAAAGTGGGTTAAGCTGCTCCTTGCTAAACTGGCATTCCCTATCGGAGTACCCACTCGAACCCCAACTGCTCTGCTTCCAATCCAGCTTCTTACAAATGCACCTGGGAAGGCTGCAGGAGATGGCGTAAGTATCTGGGCCCCCGGCACCCACATGAGGATCCAGGATGGAGTTTCTGGCTCCTGACCTTGGCCTAGCCCAAATCTGGCTGTTGCAGCCATTCGGGTAGTGAACCAGCAGACGGAAGATCTCTGTCCCTCCCTCTCTGTCTTTCCTTCTTCCTCTGTTGCTCTGTCTCTCAAACAAATCTTTAGAAATATTGAAATCCGTGCATAGTTTTTTTAATAACCCACATTTTCTATGAACTTTCTGAAGACCCTCTCATAGGCATGAATTTAAAAAATGCTTTACAGCAAAACAACCTTATCTTTTAATTCCATTTCCCACAGCTTTCAAAAGTGCTCTCACACTATGTGCCAGGTTTTCAACTAAGAATTTTGCTAAAGAAAATGTATTCTCTCCTTTCCCTTTAACAAGGCTACAACACAGACACAAAACATCAGAGGCGCAAAGACTGAGATGAGAGGTTGGATAACTTTTCCGGGGTCATGAAACCACACAAGACAAAGCCAGGATTTCACTGTATAGGGGTGGGGCTTCAAAATAGCATCCTCAAGACACAAGGGAGCAAATAATTTCAACCACTCAGAGTGGAAAGAGGAGGTAGGACCAGCCTATTGGCCTTGAATCACACTGCTTCCAGGCTAGGGAGATGCAGAAATGTGGACCCGTGAAACCTGGGGCAGGGTGAATGGAAGTTCATCTCCTTCCCCATCCAAAGGCAGCTGGCACAGCAGAGGGAAATTTAGGACCGATTGACGCTTGGCAATGGCTGCTCTAGTTAGTAATTACAGCTAAGTCATCCCCCAAGGGCTGGTCCTCTGACGTGAAGGAGAGCCCCAAAGCAGATGGGCAAGTGAGCGTTTTATTAACCTAAGAGATGTTTGCAAATGAGAGCTTGAATGTAGAGGAGGAGGAAAGATCCAAGAAAACTTGACACAGGATTAAAGAAAAACTAGAGACACCTTGAAGAATACAACGAAAGTAGTGGACCAGAGGTGACAATTGTTACAGGAAAAATAAGCAGACAAGGTTGGGCACTAATAAGAAGCAAAGAGCTCTATCCAGCACGGTCTAGGTTCTGGAGGAAGAGGCTTGGCAGAGGAAAAGCGGGTCATCTGAGCCAAACACCTGCAGGACTGTCTTACGAGAGGCCACGATTCTGGGTGTCACTGGATGTGGAGCGATATGAGCACCACCCTTGGCTGGCTAGAGGTCTGCGTGGGGGTACACCTCAGACTATGACACCTGTGTGTCTAAGTCAGCCATGTGGCCAGAGCAGGGTCCTCCCAGGGACCGGTGGGCCAGTTTCTATGCCACTTATCACATCCTGATATTTCTAAAGACTAGATGAGCAGGAGTGGTGTAGCAAAGCCCAGTGTCTTGACTAAAACCTTGCAGCACCCTGATGGGACACACACACACTACTTGGCTTGAAAAGCAAGTGGACTTCCCACCACCCGCTAACACAACCATGTGTTTTTGACTCAGCTGCTGGTAAGCTTTGAATGTTCCCCTTCCAGTTAAGGTGCAGCAACTCACTGACCAGTGAGACAGTATTAAGAAGGGAGAACTTTCAGAGGAAGGTGGGCCTGAGGGCTTCTTCACACGTGAGCGGGATTAAGGCCCTTGTAAAAGCGGCTTCACACCACATTCAGCTCACCTGCATTTGTCCTGCCTCCATTTGGCCACACGGCTGCTCCTCCCCTCCAGAGGCACCGTTTTGGAAGTGGGGAGCTTTTCCAGGACGAACAGACCTGTTGGCGTCTGGATCTTGGACTTCCAGCCTCCAGCATTTCTTTTCATCATAAGTTGCACAGGCCAGGTGCTTTCTGATAACCATGCACAAGGGCTAGGGCAGGTGGCAAGTGGTAGCTCTTTTTCCAAGTTCCGTGACTAAGCAAGTAACTGCAGATACATATCTGCTGTCACAGTTATAGGAGTATGTGTTGAAGACACTAGAGTAGTGATAAGGGTCAGTATTTCTCAAATCCTTCCATGTCTTCTCTCAGCGGGGAAAAGCAGACACGTTGAAGTCAGTTTGAGAAACACTGGCTTATGTAATTGTAAGTAGGTCTCTTTACTGTAGGAGCTCTCGGCATTCTTCATATTCTTTCATGTGCAGTGAATCTGTGAAAGGCAAACGCAGCAAGCACTGTGCTCAAGTGTGTCTGCCGACGGAGCACTCCTCACCCATGTACCTTCCTGGTGCATCTGTAGCAGCAGCTTTTCAAGAATAGTTGGGGAAACACTGGTCTAGACAGACACTGAAATCCCAGCGAGGCTGACGCGGTTCTTGTGTATTTCACCCTACTTAGAAGAGATGGCAGAAATGCCCTGTAGATGAGACCTCAACACCTGTCATGGGGAGAGAACATGGTTTTCTCTGCTCTCACAGTTCTATACCAAAGCAGTTAGACGGCAGTGAAGAGCTGAAGCTGCAATGCTCCATCAGGGAATCAGCTACTCAGTGACGACTCAGGGCGTCTGGGAGAGTGAGAGCCATCAGGAAGCTGTGGAAGCACCTGCCAGCATCATGCTTCTGGAGCTGTCTCCCCACTTCCACCTTCTTGGAAGGCTGTGATTGCTTTTCTAAACAGAGACTTGTTACACGTTGAGAATCCCACCCAGTACCTGGGCCACATGGCAGGGTGGCGATCAAAGCTTTTGCACAGACTGTACTGTTTCCAAATATTAAACTGTTCGCAAATACTCCCTGGTCGGAGGGCAAAATGAAAGGAGCTAGGGGACCAGGAGGCGCCAGTGATGGTGTGGCCACAACACAGCTTCTGTGTTTGAAGTCTTCAGCCAACTTTTGGGTTGAAAACGTGGCCTCATTTCCCCACATAATCCTACTCCCATGTGGATTCTGGGGCTTTGGAATTCTCCCTGGCCCATTGGATCACCTTGTTTTTAGTACTTTTCCCCACAACATCTTAGCTTCCATTTGCACTTTTGCATCATCAACTTGCAATACCAGATTTATTTAAGTCCTCTTTTCTCAAAACTTGCCTTACTGTGGCTTGTCTCACCTGCTTCTACAGTTCGCTGATTATTTTCCGTTATTGCTTTACATTTAGAATGCCAGGACTTATTAAGTACCCTTGACTTTGGTCATTATCTATTATAAGTTGTCCTCCTCTAATAATTTTCTCCATTTTCCAGTTGCTTCTCATACATCTGGGAAGTATGTGGTGAATTTTAGCATAAAAAACGTGGCTGGAGTCGGCGTTGAGGAGTTAAACAGCCCATTCTGGGGCATCACTTTGAGCCCCAACTCCTCTGTTCCTTAGCTTCCTAGTAATGCATCTGGGAAAGCAGCAGATGATGGCCCAAGTCTTACGTCCCTGTCACTCATGTGAGAGACCTGGATGGACTTCTGGGCTCCTGGCTTTGGCCTGGCTGAGACCAGGCTATTGAAGCCATTTGGGGAGTGAACCAGCAGATGGAAGACCTCTCTCTCTCCTCCTCTTTCTGTATCACTCTGCCTTTCAAGTACACAAATATATAAATATTAAAAAATGCTGTTAAGTTGATTATAAACAGAGCTCTACCTTCAAGGTAAGCTTCCCGGGTGTGAAGGGCTTGTCAGCTGGGACTGTGGACAAGAAACCACTCTTTCTGTTTCATTTTCCCCACATGGAAACTCGAGAAAATTATCTCACTTAGTTATCAATAAGGACTAATTGGATAATGCATCTAAAGTCCAACAGTGCCAATTAGAACATAGCAAATGCCATATAATCATTGGCAGTTGTTATTTCCACTGTTAAAATAACAAAGGCTTCTTAAAATAAGGGGAATCTAAAGCAGCTTATCTTTTTCTTTTTAAGGACCAGATTATATAAAGGATCATTTACCTAAAATTCATCAACACACTTCCTATATAGGAGAAAAGCGTCCAGTGCTGGAAAAAACTGGAGATCTCAAGTATTTATGGAGGCCTGCCCCAAACCAAAGCTTTCCAGCAAAATATAAACACGAATATGTCGGTGGAATTGGTTGGGGAGTGCAGGAGTATAACTTCATCAACAGATCAAGACTCGAGAGTGGCTTTCATATCAAGGTATCGCCTGTACATTCATGCTCTTCATAGTGTATTCTCGTCTGTCTTGAATTCCGAGTTTGCTTTCGTAAGAAATGTAAGGGGTTGGTCTCTCTCTCCCTGGGGAGTGATGGGATTTGAGCTTTGCAGAAAGAGAAGTGCGTGACTGTGTGTACTTGATACCGCAGCTCCCCTGTAGTTCAAGAGGGGAGGTGTGAAGACAATGAAGGCATGGATGGGCCAAAAGCATTTGGCTTTGATGTTGGAATGTGTTCAGATTCACTTTCTTCAGAGGAACTGACACACACTTCCCCTTCCCAGGGCTGTTTGATGAGTGGGTGGTACCAAGAAAGCAGCTGGGCGTAATCCACCAGTCTCAGATTGGTAACAGTAGCATTGATAATGCTTGGGAAGTAGGCAAGTTAGGGTACCTACCAGTGGGTTCTTAGCCACCTGGTCTTGTTTCTTGTTCATGGCACGGACACAGGCCCAGGCCCAATAGTCCCTTCTGAGACCGGAGAGAGCACAGGTGATTTTTAGAAGAGAAGTTGGAGACTTCAGACAGGGCTGTCGGATAATTGAATGTGTCAATTATGCATTGACCTAGCTTCTTCAGGCAGTATAGTAGTAATCTCTTATATGGGACAGGTCCACAAAGGAGACTCCTTTTCCTGGCCCAACCATGAGCAGTGTGAGACAGTGGTTGGGAGCTGAGTTTTTTGTTGTTGTTGTTTGTTTTTTAAAAGATTTATTTATTTGAAAGACAGAGTTAAAGAGAGGCAGAGAGTGAGAGAGAGGTCTTTGATCCCCTGGTTCACTCCCCAGATGGCTGCAACATCCGGAGCTGTGCCGATCCGAAGCCAAGAGCCAGGAGCTTCTTCCAGATCTCCCACGAGAGTGCAGGGACCCAAGACTTGGGCCCTCTTCTGCTTTCCCAGGCCACAGCAGAGAGCTGGAAGTGGGGCAGCCGGGACTCAAACCGGTGTCCATATGGGATGTTGGCACCGCAGTTGGCAGCTTTACCTGCTGTGCCACAGCGCCGGCACCAGGAGCTGTTTTAAAGTTAGACCCTGATTTAGAGCCAGTACTTGGACTTGACCAATGAGTTCAGCTCTCAGCATCTCCATTCCCTTCTGTTCGTGGAACAGTCTTGAGAGGCCGACTTCCCAGGATCACTTGGATTCCTCTCCTGGTTCTGCTGCCTAAAGCTGTGGGTCGCCTTGGTTGGGTTCCTCAGCCTCTGGGCGTCAGTCTCTTCATTAGGGAATCTTAGTTGTTACCTTACTGAGCATCAAACATTACACAGGCCAATCCTTGTAGAGATCTGGGAACAGCACCTGCACATTCCAAGCCCTCGTGTGTTTAATGTTGTGAGAATTATGTTGTGAGAGTGGACACACTAAGCATGCTGCCCACCACATGGTTGACAGCCACATTTCAGCTGTCCATACTGACCTTGTGGTTTCATTTTACTCCATGTCGGTTAAACAGAATGGCTGTTTGGGTTCTTAAGTTGTGTTCCACCTCATTTAGGCAGGAAAGATGCAGATCTGAAACTTGATTAAATCTCAAACCAGCCACCAGTGAGAAGAGTAGAGGCCAAAACAAGGCAGCCGGGTTGGCTAGGGAAAGTGCATTACTGTGGGTGTCTTGTTCCTCCCCGGTGACGCTCTGCTTTTGTACGCAGCCCTCAGTGTGGTTTTTCATCTGAGCGCTTGCTGTCGCTCCCCCTCTTCATGGAGGAACGACACTAAGCCCTGCCTAGGCTTCATATCCGAGTCACGGCACCATTATGTCGCTCCCTGTCTTCGTGGAGGAACGACACAGGACCCTGCGTTGTTCTTTCGTCTGCTTGGCCCTCCCCAGGTTTGCTGCTGGTTCTTCCCGGGTTGGCTACCGTCCCTTCCACCTCCGTGGAAGGGCGGTTCCCCCTGCCGCTTTTCCCCACTTCCGCGGGGGAGCGGCACACCGCCGGCCGGCTCTCTCGGGGGCTGCACAGGTGTTCCCCTTAGATGTTCCTGGTACATGTTGTCTCTCTCCTCCTTTATAGTCCTCTCCACCAATCCGTGCTCTGCTACCTACACGCCGAGCGCGCTGCTCTCCTCCAATCAGGAGCGGCTCTTGCAGCTTATCAAGTTGGTAAGAGGCAGCTGGGTAGAAGCTGTTTCCTCCTCTCCCAGCGCCATACTGTGGGAGAGCAGATGCATAGAATAAGTCTTAATTCCAGTAACAGTATAGTCCGAGTTGCTCCCCACACTTGCAAACTCAGGTCCTCGTCTCTAACTTAAGAACCTGTTTTGCTGCTCAAAGGAAGATTCATCAAGCGTTGCTTGGTCTCTAACGCAGGCTGTGAATCGGAGGCAATGGTAGCGCGAGTCAGCCTTCCAGGAGGGGATCTGTGTGTGTATGTGTGTGTGTGTGTGTGTGTGTTACTATTTCACTGACTGCTTTTAATGACTGCTTTGCTTGGTAACTGTGTCTCTGGATCTCTGGAGGGTGCATGTGGTGGTTCCTTATCACCCCCACGTGTGGCACCCTCAGAACCTGGTCTTGTGCCCATGCTCTAAGATAGGGTGCTTTTCTGTGCACTTTCTTGGCCCTGGAATTTGAACAGTAATTGTTTTCATCTTTCTGTCTCAGATAATGACAGTATTTGAGAGGAAGAGTTACATAGAGAGAGAGGGAGAGAGAGAGGTCTTCCATCTGCTGGTTCCCTCTCCAAATGGCCCCAACAGCCGGAGCTGGGCCAATCAGAAGCTAGGAGCCAGAGCTTCTTCTAGGTCCCCTATGTGGATGCAGGGGCCCAAGCACTCAGGCCGTCTTCCACTGCCTTCCCAGGAGCATTAGCAGAGAGCTAGATTAGAAGTGGAGCAGCAGCCTGCGCCGCGGCTCAATAGGCTAATCCTCTGCCTTGCAGCGCCGGCACACCGGGTTCTAGTCCCAGTTGGGGCGCCGGATTCTGTCCTGGTTGCCCTCTTCCAGGCCAGCTCTCTGCTGTGGCCCGGGAGTGCAGTGGAGGATGGCCCAAGTGCTTGGGCCCTGCACCCCATGGGAGACCAGGAGAAGCACCTGGCTCCTGCCTTTGGATCAGCGCTGTGCGCCGGCCGCAGCGCGCCGGCCGTGGCCGCCATTGGAGGGTGAACCAACGGCAAAGGAAGACCTTTCTCTCTGTCTCTCTCTCATTGTCCACTCTGCCTGTAAAAAAAAAAGAAAAAAGAAAAAAAAAAGTGGAGCAGCCGGGACTAGGCACGGCACACATATGGGTTGCTGGTGCCACGGGCAGAGGCTTAACCTACTATGCCACAGCACCAGTTTGATAATAGCAATCTTAAACAATATCTTAAAGGATTTCTTTGTAGGCTGGTGTTGTGGTACAGTGAGTTAAGTTGCCTGGAATGCTGGTGTCTCAGAGAGTGCTTTGAGGCCTGCTCCAGCTTCCTGCTAATGTGTCCGGGAAGGTAGTGGGTGATGATCAAGCACACTTCCCCCGCCACCCATGTGGGTGATGATCCAAGCACACTTCCCCCGCCACCCATGTGGGTGATGATCCAAGCACACTTCCCCCGCCACCCATATGGGTGATGATCAAGCACACTTCCCCTGCCACCCATGTGGGAGGCCAGGATGGAATGCCAGGCTCCTGGCTTCAGCAAGCTCAGCCCTAGCTGTTGGGGCCATTTGAGGAATAAAACTGTGGTGGGAAGGCACCTCTACTGTGCCTTCTCTCTTTCACTGTTGCTCTGCCTTTCCAGTAAATCTCCTTACAAAATAATTCCATGGATCTAAAGCTGTATAACGAGTGACCTACCTGTCAGATTCAGGTGTCGTCCCTGCGGCAGCTAGTCTTTCGCCCCTTGAGTTCCAGGCACATATACCTGTCTACAGCCAAGGCAGCCGCCATGTTATTTTTCGAGTCTAGACTCAAACTTATCGAGCCAGTGCTTTGGGCAGCTATTGGGAATCAATCAGTCTTGGCGCAGGAACTGACACTTGAGCTGATGCACACACTACACTGCCCACATGCACACACACACACAGTCTGCTAATTAACAAGAGCATAACAGAGTGGTGGCACTAGCCCTCTCCTTACAGAGGAGCTGGTGAATTCCTGGGTGGTGCTACTTATGAAAGTCTCTCAGTCCACTTCCTGTTCTTTGCCCAGTTCCTTGTCTTTGTGTAACTCCTTGCATATCCCTTGCCCTTCCTTGTCCTGCAATGTCCAAACTACAATGGTCATTTCTTATTTCAGTCCAACTGCAGAGACTCCGTCTCTATCTCTGCAATCGCCCAGAACTTGGATTTTAAGCACAAACCTGCATCTGCTGGATTTTTATAGCTCAACAGCTGTTCGCCCTGATTTACTGCTCCAGGTTTATGTAAGGGTAGCATTTAAGGAAGCTGAAACATCCAACAGACTCAGTAAGATGCCTGGGGCAGCACCGCGTCCCTAGGAGTGGTCTTGCCTATTTGGGGTGCTAGAAGGGGTGCTATGGGTCATCTGGCTGTTGGCAAGAAGATAATAACATCCAAGCTGAATGACACCTGAGAAATCTCACATCACAAAGGACAGTAAAAATCACAAGATCGGGTTTCTTCCCTAGATTATTTTATGTTCGGCTATTTCCTATTCACTTCCGTGTGGGTTACAGTACCAGAATAACACACATACGTATCAGCCGGGAAAGACCATTACTTTTGTCATAAGCTCAGTTAAGAGGGGCTTTTGTTTTCAGATGGATCTGGCCTCTGCCAAACTGGATACGAATATTTTTACTCTGCAAGAATAAATGGAGACGGTTGAAGCAGATCTGTTTCTGTGACCTCGTGCTAATCTTAAAGCGTTTTCACTGCTGTTCAGCTGGGCTTGTCGGCCCTCCGCTTGTCTTTCTGTAACGCAAACCTCCACAAGGTCAGCTGACTTCCTGATGCCTATTTTCTGCTGTTGTGTCCTGACCTTGTGACAGATGACTTAAGTCACTTGGTTTGACCACAGAAACAATGTGATAATGAACTTGATGACT